TTAAAAAATAAAAAATAATTAATTCCACATTTGGAAGGACATATCGATTCGTTACCTGTTTGAATAGCAAATAAATTTCTTTAGTTCCGGATCCATGCAGCAGAATATCAGTAATCGTCGATGCCGTGTACATATCAGTCGATCAGTTTCGATGACGGAAATAATCCTTTTGCGTAACGGAAGCAGACAGATCAGACAGTGCTTCCAACGCTCCAAATCATGTGCCAGAGTTTACTCTTCGGCAGAAAAAAAACCGAGTCTGAAGTGGGATCATTCGACTCCCAGATCTTTCTTGCTATACCAAGGATTTTAGCATGGTCGTTTGGGCAAGCAATAGAAAGTTTTCATGAGACATACCCCATTGCAGCAGTGACTTCCATATCTGAAGAAGCAGCAGCTGTACCCCTAGGCTCTCTCGGATTTCTGTACTCTGGACCACGTCCAGACGCGTGAATCCAGCGTATCGCTTCAGCGAACTGGTTTCAGTCACTTCTACCTGGGAAGTGATTGATTTCAGTCATATTTTACCGTCGTGGTCCACGACTCATAACCATATGTGAACATGGGGAAGAAAATTCACTTGAAGATAGACAACATCCTATTCAGATTTATCCTCGATTTAGATTCTTTGGACTACTTCAAGCGAAAAGCCACCGACCATTCCAATTTGACTATCCATCAATTTATTCCGTTTCTCGTCTCCGGTTCCTTCCAGAGGTCCTTGAAGTTCACTTGTTCCACTGCTCTTCCGATTATATTCCCACTGCACAGCGCAACGCACAGACAAACGAAAAATCACTAGGGTTTTTGTGTTAGAAATTTTCACACAAAATGAATTCACGTGTAGAATGCCCACCACCAGGTCGCACTCGGCTGCAAACCTTTCCAAGGAGCTCTGTAGATCGGTTTTAGAAGATGCCACTGAACCACCTCTTCTGCACTGATGCACTCATTGCCTTGGCAGTTCCTGACTATTCCATCCATTTGCAACTCAAGCAGGAGAACGGACAAGACACAGCCTTCGCGGAGACCAGTTCGACTTAAGGCCCTTTACTCTGAAGCAGCACCTGCTATCAGAATACAGTGATTGGATGGTAGCTGGCCATCAATCCCGCATGCTCGAAGGCATGACCACAGACTGTTGCGTGGGATCTGGTCATAGGCTTTTTCTAGGTCAAAAAAACACATGTACACCGGACGGGCGTACTCCTATGATTTGCAAATATATAGTTAGAGATGCTTCTGCCGGACTGAAAGCCATGCTGCTTGTGTGTTATGCGATCTGTGTCAGTTATATGAGTTCTACTGGCAGACTTCTGTCAGCCATGTCGGTACCAGAACAATAATATCAGCTTGAGTGCTTGTGTTGAAGTCGAAACCTGAGCAAAATAGCTTCCATCCGCAGGGTTTCAGAATTGTAAAGCGCTGGCGCATCGCTCGCGACGGTCCAATGATATCCATTTAGTACCGTGCTCCACGTGTCCACTTGTGTCTTTCTTGTAACATTGAATTTTTACAGACACGTGTTAGCCATAACATACCTTTGTCTGAAGCTTTAGGCATCTTAGGGCGGATTTCATTGATTCCAGCAGCCCTGCCACTTTTCACCTTTTACAGT